TGAACTGATGAGGTGGAAAAAACAAAATCACTTCGAGATTATAAAAGGATATGTATATTGCTGATACAAATTAAGCGAGCTACTCACATTTTTTTCTAGATTAAAAAGTAATTTTGTTCACGTATATGAAGTATATTTTTGAATTTTTTGTTTTCTCTGCTACTGCATGAAGTATATTTATTAAAAAAATATTGTCAAATTGAACTTTAAAATTCAGGTTTTTAAATTTTACTATAACAGACTTAGTTAAGGAAATCAGAGGTACAGATCTAGATGAATGAGCTACAGTTTACATGAAATAGCCTTCTTGTGTATTTACTATCTGTCAATTTCTATTTTAAAAATATACAATTGAGTAGAAATTTATAATTTTCCTTGGCTGATTGATAATAAACTAATTTCCTTTTTTTTGAGACAGAGTTTCACTTTGTTGCCCAGGCTACAGTGAGTGCCATGGTGTCAGCCTAGCTCACAGCAACCTCAAACTCCTGGCCTCAAGCAATCCTCCTGCCTCAGCCTCCCGAGTAGCTGGAACTACAGGCATGTGCCACCATGCCAGGCTAATTTTTTCTATATATATTAGTTGGCCAATTAATTTCTTTCTATTTATAGTAGAGACGGGGTCTCACTCTTGCTGAGGCTGGTTTTGAACTCGTGACCTTGAGCAGTTCGCCAGCCTTGGCCTCCCAGAGTGCTAGGATTACAGGCGTGAGCCACCCTGCTGGGCCCAAAAGATGCTTTTAATTATCCTCTGAGCAGCCTGACAGAACAGCAAGCACATCCTAGTTCCCTTGCTAGGATAGGCAAAACTGCATTTCAGTAGGCCTCCAGTGATAATTGCTACATTTTTGGGTTTTTTTAAATACAGTTTTAAATTTCTTTTATGAATTTAACTTCTTTTTCTCGAGTACCAGTTATGTGCCAGGTACTATACACTGAAGATGCATATGAGTAAGATAGATATGGTCCCTTTTTTTTCACAGAATTTACATTCTCTTGAGAGATATAGACCAGTAAAGAGGGAATTGTAAAATCTGGTGTGATAAATTAACCCAGACATATTGGTTAGAGAAGGCTTCTTAGAAGAAATGATCTTCTTAGGAGATGATGATGATCCAGATTTGTAGCGGGAGTGGTAATAGAGTGAGCAGAAGGATTTCAGATGTAGGAAATGCTGGAATTTATGGGGGAAAAAATCTGTTAAAATGGATAGCAAAATATCTGGGACTGGGGGAAGAAGAGAGCTCTCAAGGACACTCGGGTTTCTTCCTTGAACAGTTGGTGAGGCCAGACTCAGCAAGAGGATCGAGTAAAGAGGATCAGGTTTGGGGTCTCAGTGGGGAGAATGGAGGAAGAGCAGTTTTGTTTAGTTAGAGTTACGTTTGAGGAGGCTATAGACATATCTAAGTGGAAATGTCCAGTAGAAAGCTATACTAAATGCGTATTAAGAACTCTTCTTGCCCATGACACTTTTTTCATCTCGTATTTATAGGGGATTTTTCTCCTGAATGTCTGAGTTTGAAATTTATTTTACATATTTGTATTTTTACAGTAAATTGACCGTTGTAGTTCTGTGATTTGCCGTTCATTTCAGAAGACAACTTAAATAATCTTGAACTTACCTTGGTTCCTATTATTGGTTTGGGGATTAAATTACAGGTTAAGAGAAATTATTTCTGGAGAAGGAAAAGTTATTTTATACAAATCATTAAGAAGAAACATTGGATAAAATTCTTCAACTTTAAAAATCCACATTATTCTTCAGATAAATATCTTTTATTGACGTGTTGTTGAACCTCTGGAGTACATCAGGAAATGAGTTTAAGGCTGGGCGAGATGGCTCACGTCTGTAATCCGAGCACTCTAGGAGGCCAAGGCAGGCAGATTGCTCAAGGTCAGGAGTTCAAAACCAGCCTGAGCAAAAGCGAGACCCCGTCTCTACTATAAATAGGAAGAAATTAATTGGCCAACTAATATATAGAGAAAAAATTAGCCGGGCATGGTGGCACATGCCTGTAGTCCCAGCTACTCAGGAGGCTGAGGCAGAAGGATCGCTTGAGCCCAGGAGTTTGAGGTTGCTGTGAGCTAGGCTGACGCCATGGCACTCACTCTAGCCTGGACAACAAAGTGAAACTCTGTCTCAAAAAAAAGGAAATTAGTTTATTATAATGTAATTACTTTTTTATCATAATATAATTTCTGAGGTTTCTATTAGTATATAAATACTATAAAACCTACAAAATTTAACAGTGTTAATTACTTTCTGTTGCCCATTTAAAACAGTTTTTATATTCTGAAGAATTTTCTTTCATACAAACTGAAGGAGAAATTTATAATTTACTATATTCAACTAAATCATTGCTACATATGTTAGAGCTGTAGCAGTGGACTGAGAGTGAGACTATTGACTGTTTTGAGGGATTAACTAGCCATCTGTTGCCAACGAGACCTAAAAAAGTTTGCAGAGAGTAAGGGAAGCTCTTTAATAAAATTTTGTTAGTAAAGTAAGTAAATTTCAAATTCTCTCTGCCTATGTCTGTTTTCCAGAGAAGTAGACATTGGAATCAAACAACAGAATGGAACTATTTTTTATTTGATGTATAACTTGTAATAACTACCTTCTGGTCTTGTTAATGATCTAAAACATCTGTAATAACAAAACTTTAATATTTTTATTTTAATAAGCAAGGCTTGTAAACTTCATTTTGATGTTAATTTACCCAGTTTTGGATGTATAAACTTTGTTATCAAATAAAGCTTTAAAATTATGCATTCAAGTATCTTAATGTTCCTGGAAATTTGACCTAATCAATCAGTAATTGGGAGAAATATATACATACACACAATTCCAGTACAAGCAGCAAAGTGATAAATCTGTATGAAATTGTGTTTAAGTTTCAAACAATTTTCATGCTCAGTGGAAGAAAAAAGGCTGAGATATTTGAGTCTACCTCAATGGGAGCAGTTGTTCACATCTGCTACTATGTTGGTGTTCTGGATTGTGCTCACATAGCTTACAGTAACTTTTGAGAGAACTGATAAGCAATTTAACACTTGATTTTATTGCCAGGCACAGTGGCTTACACTTGTAATCGTGGCACTTTGGAAGGCCGGGGTGGGAGCATCGCTTGAGTCCAGGAGTTCAAGATCACCCTGAGCAACATAGGGAGACCCTGTCTCTACCAAAAAATTTTTTTAAATTAGCCAGTCTGGTGGCACACACCTGTAGTCCCAGCTACTTGGGAGACTGAGGCAGGGGGATTGGGTCAGCCCAGGAGTTTGAAATTACAGTGAGCTATGATGACACCACTGGTCTCTAGCCCAGGCAACAGAGTGAGACCCTGTTTTTTTAAAAAAAAAAAACTTGAGACTCACCAAGACTCACTCAGCCTACCATTGGCTGATATTATATCTTTTTAGAACAAAATTAGTACTTCATAATATACCACTAATTAAAGTACAAATACATCATTATCTTACTGTTAGCCAGAATTTGGAGTTCAGTCATAAAGTGATTGTTATCATTTTTATAGCAAAGGATGAATACAGACTGTATTTTTTTTCTGATGTATCAGCTAAAACATTTTTTTTTTTAAATCTAGCATTGGAGTGGCTCTCCACTTACTCTATTTAAAAAGCTAAACAGATTTACACTGGTTAGTTCTGGCAGGCATTAATTTCAGCTCCACATCCCTAATTCACCTTCAGTGTAAAAGCACTGCTATTTGACTTTAATAAAATGGCTTGGACTTAGGAAAATGTATGAATGTATTCTATATTTTGACATATATTTGAAAATATATTCTATATTTTATTTATTTATTTATTTTTTATTTTTATTTTTTTTTTTTTTTGAGACAGAGTCTCACTTTGTTGCCTAGGCTAGAGTGAGTGCCGTGGCGTCAGCCTAGCTCACAGCAACCTCAGACTCCTGGGCTCAAGCGATCCTTCTGTCTCAGCCTCCCAAGTAGCTGGGACTACAGGCATGCGCCACCATGCCCGGCTAATTTTTTTTTTCTATATATATTAGTTGGCCAATTAGTTTCTTTCTATTTATAGTAGAGACGGGGTCTCGCTCTTGCTCAGGCTGGTTTTGAACTCCCAACCTCGAGCAATCCGCCCGCCTCGGCCTCCCAGAGAGCTAGGATTACAGGCGTGAGCAACCGCGCCCGGCCTATTCTATATTTTAAAAAACAATTAACATAGCATATTTAAGCTAAGAAGTTGAGGAGATAAAAGTATAATATGAGTATTTCCATTATTTATGGTATGAATGAATATTTGTGAGTTGAATTATATTGGCTCTTGTATCTTGGCAGATTGAATTTACTGCTATAAGAAAAATAATTGTGTGTAGTGCATTTCTTCTAGAAGATAAAATTGTCTTGATAAAGCTTTAGTAAGTATATAAAATGGAAATGTGAAAAACATTAGATGCTTTCATTTTAAAAAATAAATCTAAGCAGTTCATTGACTTTTCAAGGCTTTTATTAATGTGTATTTTTCTAGTTTCCCCAGTAAAAACATAACTAACAATTTAAGAATGTGATTTACTGTGTTTTTGTTAGAAAATAAAAACTTGTTGAGCATTTTTGTTACTGAACCTTATAATAGAAATTTTTGCAAGTGTGTACTCTAGGATGATTAGTGAAGAAAGAACAGAAATGTAAAGGCCAAGAGTCTGTAAAGGTAATTTGCTGGGTTCAGTAGCACTTTTTAATATTGTGTGCAATAATGTGTCTGGACTAAAGTTAAAATTGAATCATTAAGTTCTTAGAAAGGCTTTGGTAGTCATGAGAATTCAGTATTACTGAATACATAATTAAACTGAAGCAGTAATTATTAGGCCACATTTTATGTTAATACTAATATTCTTTAGCATTTTTCTTCCAATTTACAAATTACTGGGACTCTGTATTTTACTAAGATTTGTGTGTTCGTAAAGCAACTTATAAGAAACAAAATGTTCTCAAGTCTTTTGTTTCTGTTTTTTATTATAGGAGTACCAAAATCTAATCTCTTGCACACCAGATCATTAAGGGGCCATAAAGACTGCTTTGAAAAATACCATTTAATTGCAAACCAGGATTGTCCTCGATCTAAGCTTTCAAAAAGTACTTATGAAGAAGTTAAAACCATTTTGAGTAAGAAGATAAACTGGATTGTACAGTATGCACAAAATAAGGATCTGGACTCAGATTCTGAATCTTCTAAAAACCCCCAGCATCACCTATTCAATTTCAAGCACAAGCCAGATAAAAAATTACTCCCACAATTTGACTCCCAGGTACCAAAGTATTCTGCAAAATGGATAGATGGAAGTACAGGTGGCATCTCAAACTGTACACAAAGAATTTTGGAGCAGAGGGAAAATACAGACTTTGGACTTGCTATGTTACAAGATTCAGGTGCCACTTTTTGCCATAACAGTGTAATATGGCCTCATAGTCACAAGCAGGCACAGAAAAAAGAAGAGACAATCTCTAGTCCACAGACTGATGTCCAGACCCAGCATCCACATTATAGCAGAGAGGAATGTAAGTAAAATGAAGAAAAAGGTAAAAGTTGAATGGTTTGGTTTGGATTATTTTCTTTTAACATTTTTATATGTGTGTGATATGTCAAGAATTTTGATGTAGAATCATAGGTTGAGTAAGCCTATATTTAAATAACAGGTTCACCTTAGCAAAAATGAAATATCTTAAAACCACCCATTCTCTGGAATACTTTTGAACATGTCCTAAGATTTGAAGTTCAGCAATCCCAGTGTTTGTTTTGCCATTTTAAATTAATAAACTGAATGGCATCAGCAAAGTGTGAATTGGAAAGTTCAAGATTCATATAGTTTAGAATAGCCTCGACTATTGGCTAATAGACATTGTCACATTGCTAATCCCTACAATACTAATTGACTGGGGATGGCATTTCCAAAGCAAAAATCTGACATTTTACTGAAGGCCAAAGGTAATGTGTGCACTTATTTTAAAGTTAGAAAACGTGACTCATTCTGTCTGCATCTATTTCTACAAAACTCACAGAAGCTGGGGTAATTTTAATTGACTTGAAATCATGTGATTTTAGCTTCAGTATCTTTTTATACATCTCATTCCACATGTGAATTAAGTTGTATAACTAGATAAATTGATTTTTTTAAACTATTTTCACAGTAAAGTAGTGATTTTCAAACTGCAGGTCATAAACTATATTATGCTTAATCAAAATCATCCTGATGAGTAGTGACTAGCACTTTTTAAAAACTGAAACAGGAGATATTCATTGAACCTGCTACTAGGTATTTTTTGATGAAACTTGTTTCAGTTTGGGGGTGGTGGTATACTGGGAATGATGTGAAATATGTTTCTTACTGTGGGTTGTGGTCAGGATTTGAAAACTTTTGCTCCAAGCTAAGAGCTAATGGATGAATCCTAGAGTACTGCTGAGTGTTGTATTGGCAGATAAGTGCAAATTTTTTAATAGGATATTGTGTTAATGATGTAAGCAGCTTATTTTCCCAAATTGTTGTGATGACAATGAATATATTTTCATGTTTCAGTGAATTCAATGACTCTTGGTGAAGTCGAGCAACTGAATACAAAGCTCCTACAGCAAATCCAGGGTAAGAATCAGTCTCAACTTTTTTTGTGCATGAACATATCAATATAGAAAAATCACCTGTGATATAGGGTACCATTAGCTTTATCTCCATTTAAATTTGGAAATGAGATATTTGAACCTGTTAGAGTGTCCAGAGCAAAAACAAGAAGAAACAACTTAATCTGTACCTCTTACTGACATTTTATTGACTACTTACTATTGTGCCAGGTGCTCCTTAATAGCTCTTTAAGGTATTAGCCCTGTTTTTTCTTTAATTATGAACAATTTCAAAGGTATATACCAAAGTAGTGATTGTTATAGTGAACCCCTTGAGCTGTCTTCACCAGCTTCAACTGTTATCAAAAGCATAGCTAATTTTTCTTCATTTTTACTTGCATCCATTCCTCTCAGCCTACTCCCATCTCCAACATGGATTATTTTGAAACAAATCTTAGATGACATATTATTTTTTCCATAGATACTTCAATATTTTCTCTAAAAAATAACTATAAAAGCAATCACAATCTTTAAAAAACTAGTAAATCCTTAAATCAATTGTGTCCTTTTATTTATTTATTTTTTTACAACATATTCCCATTTAGGTAAGGAAATTACACACTTAAGAGACATTTCAGTTGCTTACAAAGATCATGCATCAAGCTAGTAGCAGATCAAGGATTTTCACCCCTGTCTTTTTAACTCGAAAGCTAGTGGTCTGTCTTGACCACACAGCCTCTCAGAATAATAGTAATAGCAACTTATATATATCAAGTGTTTATTCTGCACTTTACAAGTATGATCTCATTTAATCTTTACAGTAACCTTGTGAAGTGTTGACTGTATTATCAATGTTGTACATAAAAGGAAATTGAAAGAACAAATTTAAGTTGCTTGCCTAAGGTACATAGGAGTAGGAGCAAGGATTCAAAATCCTGGCAGTCTGATCCCAAAGCCTCTTAGAGGGATTTCCAGACCTGGATACTAATGGCACTTATCCATAAATTTTATTAAATATTGATCAAACCTATTTATAGATTCTAATTGAGAAAAGTAGCTTAGCTGTAGTGGTAACCGACATTTCTGTTTTGCATCTCTATAGTCCTTGCTTATGGCTCTTAAGTTTCACTTGATGGAGAAAAGGCAGACAGTATTCTAATTGGCTGTGTAAAGTATACAGACTTCTGGTGGATGATCAGAACTGATAGGCTTTGTAGAAAACACAACTGTTTCTTTAGTGTCAAATCAGTTTCATTGTGAAAATTTGCCCAGTGTATTCATTGCACTTAGAGTACTTGAAAAACAAATCATAGGATTCTCTTTCTGTGTGCTAAAATGAAACCACTTTTTAAATCTTTACAGAAGTTTTTGAAGAGTTAACACACCAAGTACAAGAAAAAGATTCTTTGGCCTCAGAGCTCCATGTCCGCCATGTTGCTATTGAACAGCTTCTCAAGAACTATTCCAAGCTACCATGTCTGCAAGTGGGGCGAACAGGATTGAAGTCACACCTACCCATGAACAACTGAACCAAACTTATACTTCATATGCCCTTCCCTTTATCAGTCTGCCAGGCATGCAAACTTTGAAGAAGTTTGAAGAAGGTTATGGTCCATTTTTTTATGGTCATTATATTTGCAAAGCATATCAGGCAATATTTAACATCTTTGTCAAATAAAGCAGATCATTGTACTCTAGTCTTCTAGGGTTAATCATTTTGTCTCATTTTGGGAATCCTTTTCCCCATAATTACTAGACGCCCCTCCCTAAGTTTTACCACATGTGACTACTTAAATATAATGTTAAAGTGTGATTTTATTAAACATATTTTAATGTAATTCACCTATCAAAACAACAGAAGATTAACAGACTCCTTAGATTATTCTAAACTACTAAAGATAATTTTTAAGAGGGAAATGGAATTCATAATATCACCTCTTATGAGCAATATTTTAATATAAAAATTTTATATATATATATATAAAATGCTATTTTAGGTACTTTGCCATTCTCTTTCTAAATGTGTATTTGAATGGCTCTGTATATTTACACTTTCATGTGTGAATATATTCACCCATATTTCAGGTCACTTCATTTTATTCTCTTAATACAGTGTTTTTACAACTATTGTTTTGCTTTCCAAAGATAAATGTATTTTGGAGTAGAAATCTATTTAGTTGAATTGTTTTAATTTCTAATAACTAACTCTTAGGAAAGAGGAATTAATAACTTTTTAAAGCAAGTATCCAAGTAAATAAAATACATTATTTTTTTCTAACAAAAGCAGTTCTGAGTTAGTTAAGGAAGAAAAGGCTAATCTAGTTTTTGTATGTCAGCATGTCTCCATAGAAATGAAAACCTCATCTACTTCATTATTAGTTTCATTTTAATGACTTCGATGTGTTAGAATTTGGACAGAATAAGTCATGCCTCACTTTCAAGTCATATATAATATCAATCTTCAGATTGAATGTGCTGTGAAATTATTCTATCTTTGAAAAAAATTAAAATTATTCTGTATGCCACTGGGGTAAAGATTCAAGAATACTTAAACTGTCCAAATTGTTATCACCATCATTGATACTGTGCTAAAAAACACATTGTGAGATATTTTTCTAAACTTTAGAATCTAAAAAAAAAAAAGACTGCTTGACAGAAGAAAAGCAAAATTCCTAATTAAAAAAAAGGACCCTTGTTTAAAAGTATATTCTTATAAGTTGCCTAGGATGTTTTCAAAGAATTTTTAACAGGTTGTCTCAAAAGCTAGATCAGTTTTAATAATGTATTATAGTAAAAGCTACAACCAATGCAGAATTAAAATGGACTCTAAATTCTGTTTTCAACTGGTATTTAGAATGTATTTATCAGGTAGATTCTTTGCTTGAAAGAATCTGCAGAAAAGTCCAGTAACTTGGTAGCTTCATGCATAAAGATATGAATGACTTTTTCTTTAAATTTGGCAGCCTACCTTGGCTTGGATTAGCCTTGAACAATATTTGACAAAGCAAAGAAACACTTAAGTCTAGTTGAAAGCAATGTTTTGTAGTGCTAAAATGTGTTAAATTGGCCATAGGGTATTAATTGATATCCCATTGATATATTTTTTTGAAGTATAACATACTTGCTTTTTGAAGGGCACTTTTGAAAAATGCTTTCAGTTTCTCTCAGTTATCAAAAATGAATTTAAAATCCAGGTAGTGGGGATACATTGCCTTAGTTTTGATAAGCTTTAAATTGACTGTGTGCAATATCAAGATATCCAGATTTACAAGTTGGATAAATAGATTTCCTGATTATGCCAGTAAGAATCTTAGTGCTTAGTTATTATGGTCACATTTCAAACTTGACTTTATTCTTTTTTTGGCATAATTCAGTAAGAATGTTACCAGCCAGTGTGCTTGCACACATTTGGATTTCTGTTTAGATGACTTAGTGATAGTCATAAAAGTTTGGGACGTGTTGCATTTGATGTCAGTAGTAGTAGCATATTTCCAGAGTACGAGCCATATGGTGCAATCACAAATACGACAGTGTTATCCAAAGAAAGTATTTGCTTAACTCTTAAGGAGTTTTCTGGCAAATATGTAGCTTTACTAATGAGTTTGGGACAATTAGATGGATTGTGCATATACTTAAGGTCTTAACTGGGGACTCTGATTTATTCCATTCAGATATTTCTGCTTAAGCTCTTCAAAGGAAAGGTGCTCTTTAAAAATATCTAAGGTGCTGGTATTCACACTAGTACTTTATTTGGATGAATCTCTATTAATTTTTTTTTCTTAAAGTATTTTGCACAGTAGTTTAATCCTAATATTTGGTAAACTTACAAATTCTTGTGCTATTAATAGTTGTCTTGATTGAATGTGCAGTTATCGTATATGCAAAAATAAGAATCAGGGACAGAGTTGAGTTCTAACTTGAAAGAACATGAAATACCACAAATACTGGTTTTCATACTTGGCTGTTCTGTACAGTTGTTAATTTTTGAGGGAGTTTAGAAGAAAATTTCATACACTGAGTTGCAAAAATGAAAAAAAAAAAAACCAAAACAGACTGCCAATCTGCCATTACTGACATTTTCAGAGCTTATATGATTAAGGGGAGTGAAATAAGACTAATATTTTTCACATTAGATTTCACAATTAGACAATTTAAATTGAGTTAAAAAAAACCAGAAGTCAAAAGGATTTTGACCACACAAGATTGTTCTCTTTAAAGATTGAAGTTTTAAAATCCATTCAGCCTTATAAGTAAGCTGAAAATCAATTATGTTTACTTTGAGATTATCATCTTATCCTTTGATCCTAGATTTAATATCTAAATTAGCCTTTTTTAAAAGGCATGCACTTGAGACACCAATAATTGATGATTCAGGCAGCAGAATAGTGTTGTGTTCCATTAGGTTGTTCCATTATGTAGTTTTCTATGCATAATGTTGGAGCAGAGATGTTCTTAGTTTTTCAAAATGTATGTTCATCTCACCACAGAGTGCCCATTTTTATATACATTTAAGAATTATTTTTAAAATGTCAAGTTCATGGTAGAAAGTGATTTCAGAAATATAATCAAAATATATTCTATTTTATTGGCATCTTGACAGGATCTTGAGATTTCTCGGTTTTTCATCTTGCCATATTCTTTGCCATTGAAAATGGTTTAAAGTGCTTTATTTTTTGTATATATATTTTTACCTTAGTGTTTACACTGTTGAGGCTTATCAGTAAATTTTTGTTAGTGTTTAAAGTAAGTTTTTTTGGATCTGTTTATGTTTTAATGTTTACCAGTTTTGATATTATTCTGTTTTGTTTGGAAAGAATCTGCTTTCATTATTAACATTGTAAAATGTAAAGTGTAATACAAAATGTATATGCTCTAAACTTAAGTAGGAATTTTTTTTAAAGAATAAGTTATTTATGTAGCTTATTAGGAGGTTCAGGTTACTGACCATAAAAGTAGGTTACATGTACATGAAAGCTTTAAATGGTACAGTGTAAACTTCTTGTAGTGTCATTTTTTCTGACTTATGCCAGTGCATTTACTGACAGATGTTATTGTTTATACTGAAGTAAGATATTTGAATATTTTTAAGTACTTATTAAGAATTTGAATACTCTACAAAAATTTTTAAATACCTTCTATTCTGTAGATGTAGCTATAAAGCAAAGATAATTGACTTCATTTCAGTGTATGATTGTATCTTTTATTTTAGGTTGGTGGGAGTAATTATCTAAGAAAATTTATGGTGAAAATTAGTAAGTGATAAAACCCTCAACAGTTTATTCTTGCCAAGTTAAGTTTTGTGATGATGCGGCAAGAGACAGTTTATCAGAATAATGAGGTAATAAGGCTCTGGCACAAAGTAAAGGGATCTTGGAGGAGGGCCATAATGCTGTGTTTGGAATACCACAATTATCTTGCATCTCAGTATTTTCATTTCACTTCATCCTTTCACAATTGCCCCTGTGGTGGTGCAGCCTAATCTAGTAAGAAACTTCTGGCTGTGGTTACCTTTATGTGAACCATATTGTAGCAAGTCTCTGGCATATCGTTTTTTTTTAATAGCTGGTTTATAACATACACTTTCCCTATTCTTTTTAGTCTGAGTCCACATTACTAAGGCATTTTAATAATAATACTCTACAATTTTAAGCTTACAAAAGTGAAACAAAAAAATCATGGTGATGAGAAATTACTCTCCCCACCAAAAAAGTATTAGTTGAACTTCTCTCAACACCGCCAAGGCAGAGGGAATTTTAGTATATGTTTCTTGCTTTTTTCAAACATGTGTAGAATGTTTTTTTCACCCTACTACCTCCAAAAGAGGCAGTCGAGAAAGTATTTGGTAGTGACTTCTGTTAAATGCCATTCCTACCTTTATTGTGTGTCTGTGTATGTGTATACTTTGCTTTAAATCTCTGTAGCATATGCAGTGGTCATGGAACGTAATCTCTCTGATGTTAGAAATTTATTTTACAAAATTGTGCTAAGACATTTGGAAAAAGAAATTGAAACTGCTGTGGTAAAAACCAAGTTAGTTTCAAAAAAGTTGAAACATTATTTGGCTGTTATATTAATATTTTCCTTAAAAACTGCAATAATTTATATATTTGTATTGCTCTGCTTTGGAACTGTAACTATATATGCTTGTCTACTATTTTTAATTTTACAATAATAAAATAAATATTTTGTTATTTGCTAGTTTCAGTGGATGTTTTTTAAGAGTACCTGTATTTTTTTAAATGGTTGACCTATGTAAAGGGTTTTTTTGTTTTGCAGGCTTAGGAGTCTATACTTAGAATTATCTGACAGTTTTCTTTTTTTTGAGACAGTCTCCCTTTGTTGCCCAGGCTATAGTGAGTGCTGTGGCGTCAGCCTAGCTCACAGCAACCTCAATCTCCTGGGCTCAAGCGATCCTCCTGCCTCACCCTACTGAGTAGCTGGGACTACAGGCATGCGCCACCATGCCTGGCTAATGTTTTGTATATATATTTTTAGTCGGTCAATTAATTTCTTTCTGTTTTTAGTAGAAACAGGGTCTCGCTCAGGCTGGTTTAAAACTCCTTACCTCGAGCAATCTGCCCACCTCGGCCTCCCAGAGTGCTAGGATTACAGGAGTGAGCCACCATACCCGGCCTGACAGTTTTCTTATCTGGCAGTTTTTTAGCTTAATTTCTTGTGAGAATCTTACCTGATCTTTGATGCTTAAATTAACATCTCTCTGTCCTGAGAGTCCGAAAGTGGGAAATAAGACCCTGTGATATACTGGCTATATGTGCAGTTTTTTAAATTGGGGTATAAGTTACACACAATAACTAGGTTGTAAGTATATTGAGTTTTAACAAATGTGCACAGCTGTGTAGCCATCACTGCTTTTGGCTCCCTTTCTGATCACGTCACTTCCCATTTCCCTTCACCCACTGTTTTGACTCCTGTCGCCATCATTTTCATTTGCCTGCTTTAACATTTGCTATAAATGTAATCATACAGTATGTACTCACTCATTTGCCTCTGGCTTTTTTCACTTAACTCAATGTTTTTGAATTTATTCATGTTAGTTCAAGGGTCAATAATAATTTATTCCCCTTTTTTTTGCAGACTAGTGTTCTATTATATGAATATATTACAATATATCATGTTACTGGACCTTTGAATTGTTTTCAGTTTGCAGCTAATATAAATAAAGCTGTTATGAATATTTTTAAATTGGCTTTTAAAAAATTAAGAATAGGAATTAAAAAAGTATTCAAAGTCACATGCTATAATGGTAGCTTACAGTTAGCATTACAAATTGAAATAATTACCAGTTTTCTTCACAAATGATTTTTAAAATAATTTATATGATGTTTTTATGGTAGTTATTTATGGTAGTTTCAAAGTTATTTGAAACTAGGAAACAAGGACAATATACAAAAGATCAGAGGCAGATTACAAAATAAGGACTGTTTGAGAACTGAAACATTTATCAGGATACTAGAAGACTCTTAATCATCCTTAAAAGTCTCTTTAAAGTCTAACAACCATACTACTTTGTTTTTCAGAAAAGGAAATGTAAACCAAGAGAGTCTAGTTTGGAAAAAGTACTGGAAAGAGTACCAGACCACAAAGTCCTTCTTTTTAGCTTTGACTACTTTGTAATATTAAGGAACATTCATCTTTTCTAACTCTGAATTCTCTAAGCTTTGTTCCCAGCCTTCCTGGGAATTTTCAAACTATTTGTAAAATAGTTTGCTGTCCCTCATTTTTAGTTATTGTAGGACCAGACATTCTTTGCAGGAAGAAGTGACTAAGAAGCTGGTGAATAAGTGTGTGTTGGATAGAATAGGAGGGGGGCTGTAGGCAGAAAGTTATATATTGATATTCTAAATTCATAAAAAGCTTTTTAAAAGGCTTTACTTTTGGAATCTGATCTAGATGATGTGTTAGGTCCTGTCTTAAAAATTCCACATGACTTGCAAGTTTAAATCAGTAGAGTTTCTTTTTTTCTTTTTGGTTTTGTGGTATTGTGCTTATTTTGCTGTTCTTCCACATCTGAATCCCATTCCAGTGTTTGGATGACACAGGCCACCTTCACCTCTGGAAGCAAAAACTTCAACCTTCCTTGCATCTGGGGCACCTCACCCTGACTGGTGAAGCAAAGAAACCTGGTAGGAGAAGGTCCATGTTGCAAGCATCAGTGTCTATCAATAGAGCTGGCATCTGTTACCCCATATTCTTTGAGTACAACAGGTAAGATCCTGGCATCTGGTGTTTAGTAGCCATTGCCTTGTGTAAATTTGACTGTGAATCTAGTAGATGATTAATCACCTTTATTCCTGCCTGGATTCCCAGCCTTCTTGCCAATCTCTTCCCATTGAATAAATTCCTTTTCAACCTAAATCAACTAGTTGCTTTCTCTCGTTTGCAGCTGAGAAGTCTGCTATACCTAACCTCATCCACTAGGTCTGTGTCCTAGTGGTCTAACTCTCCTCCTCTGAGACCTTATGAAATTGGTTTCTAAAAGTGAGCTGCTAAGAGCCAATATGCAGTGGCTCAGGACCACATGGACTACTTGTTGGGTCAGCTGAAGCTGATGAGAAGATTTTGAAGAGAAATTAAACCTCTTGGTAATGCAGATGTCAGTTTTCCTGTTAAGAGTGTGCATTGTTCACAGGAGGAATGACTTTGGAGAATTTCTCGCTGTCTGCCAGTAATGTCTGAAATGCTAACAGTTTGTATCTACTGGGATCTTCGAGGGAGTGTTCTAGTAGAAACAGTGATGATCATAACTTTAGCTGTGAGCTTTGCCTGTGTTTTCCTTGGTAATAGTAAATGACCTCCAGCCCAGTAAGCATTGAATGAATGAGCGAATGAGAGATCTCAGAGGCAGGATTGCATGAGCTTTCAAAGTAAAACAATAGCTACCCCCCAAAGGGCCTGATCTTATCCAGTGACTGATTACTACACACTCTCTACATGCCCCAGTCTCCACCCCACCACCATGACTATTTCGGGCCTTTGATATCTCACACTTATACTTCTTTCTCCTCCAAACCTGTTGTTCTCT